CACTGCAGACGGCCTGGCGGAGGGCACTGCAGATGCTGCAGGCGGCCTGGTGGAGGGCACTGCAGACGGCCTGGCGGAGGGCACTGCAGACGGCCTGGCGGAGGGCACTGCAGACGGCCTGGCGGAGGGCACTGCAGACGGCCTGGCGGAGGGCACTGCAGATGCTGCAGGCGGCCTGGTGGAGGGCACTGCAGACGGCCTGGCGGAGGGCACTGCAGGCGGCCTGGCGGAGGGCACTGCAGATGCTGCAGGCGGCCTGGTGGAGGGCACTGCAGACGGCCTGGCGGAGGGCACTGCAGGCGGCCTGGCGGAGGGCACTGCAGATGCTGCAGACGGCCTGGTGGAGGGCACTGCAGACGCTGTAGACGGCCTGGTGGAGGGCACTGCAGACGCTGTAGAAGGCGCTGCAGACGCTGCAGACTGGCTGGTGGAGGTATTCCGTTTCAGCTTGAGAGAGATTGCCTCCCGGCCCTCAGGGAACATCTCCATGTAGCGCCGGAAGGCTTCCTTGTTAGCCCTGTTGCTCAGGGCGTCCTTCACCTCACCCCTCTCACTTTCCCTGATCATCGACGCCACCAGGTACGCGCCAAACCCCAGAGCGTTTTCAAGGACCCACCTGAAAGTCTGCCCCCTGAACTGGCCAACCTGCAGCTGATGCAGACCCAGAACACACACCTCGTCCTCCGTGTCGAGGCCTTGCTCCGCTGCAGCTCGCCGTGCTGACTCCAACACCTCATCTGGTGGAAGAGGACGTGACCATGGCTGGGCCCTGCTCCTCACCCGCCCAGCTTCATGGGAGTCATTTATATTGACCGTCCCATCAGCCTTCCTCCTAAAATTTGGCTTCATATCTGTCAGTTAAAAAAGAAAATGTTAAAGGCATCATAAAATAATAACAACAAAAGAACAAGAACAGGGAAGGCAAGCAGAATGTTTATCTAAGCACCTATCTATTTCTATACATAGTAGTGCAGTAGGATTCTTGCACATGTATATATCTTGAACTTGTACATATTGTTTATAGTTTTCACGGTATCAATGTGTGCATGGGTAGGGGCAGACGTATGCTTAGTGTCTGTTGTGATAAATGGCTAAATGTTCAATTGCTGCTGTAACACTGCAATTTCCCTTTGGGGATTAATAAAGTAATCTATCAGATCACTGGCCTAAAGAAACATCATAGACACTATGATCACACGATAAGGGTTAGGAACACACTATATCAACTGTGCACCCCCCCCCCCCCCCCCCCCCCCCCCCACACACACACACACACACACACACACACGCTCATTCCAATAGTTTGCAATGCTATTATATGGTAATAAAGGTAAAAACATGTGTTCTATGTGATTTCTCATCAATGGTAATGCTAGCACTAACGGTTTGCTAAATAAACAGATAAAAAAGAAATAACTTTCACACAGATTTCGAGTCAATCGTTTCGACGAATGGGGGAGGGGAGCCGTCGAACGAACAGCGTCTATTTACGTTTATTTCTGCACTAAAAGCTAACGTGACATTTACAATAAAGTTAACAAATATAAACAAACTTAAGAAAACTTACCAAACACGTCGTCCGAATTCTCCACAGATTGGAAATGTTTTGGGAAAACAGCCGCTAAGGTGAATCGCAGTAACTGTACAGGACAGGTGAAGTGCGCATCCTGCCGAGTTGAGCGTCCCGCTGGGCAGAGAGGGGTGGGGGCCGGACGGAGCCCACGGATTTCTGATTGGCTCACGCTTGCCAGAATTCGTGAACAACCAGTGCGTTTGTTGATTGGCTGTTGCAGGCTGTCACTCGGTTCAATTCGTGAACGCAAACTCGCCTCCTCATTGGCTATCAGGGGAACCGGCGCTTGGTCAAGCCATTGGCTCGGTGCACTTCGTGAACGCATACTCGCCTCCTCATTGGCCACAATTCGTGGTCAACTTCCGAGCTGCCATTGGCTTACCGTTTCTCGACACACGCTCGGCCGTACGCGCCACTAGCCCTACACCTCCGGATATAGACCACCTTCAGCCAAAGGCCTAAAACAACAGAAAGACAACTCAATTATTTTCTTCTTTCTGCTGAACAGTCTGAAAGTCAAATGGCTACCGTGACCCGGAAACATGCCTGTGTAAAGGCGGTTTACACTCACTGTGGATGGTTGAGGCTGTATATCTCTAAGCATTTATTCATGTCAAAGAATCTGGTCATAACTTTGCTTTTGAAATTCTTCAAAGGCTCCCCAAACATACGCAGAGTTTTGCATGTGGCACTCATTGTCTGGTTTTATGTAATGGGCTAGTTGTGGAGGATAACACAGTTGTTTATATTTTGGCCTGTAAAAACTTTTCAAGCTAGCCAGGAGCGGAACCTTGCATCTTCTGATCCATAGTCAGGCACTTTTTCCATTGCGCCACCAAACCTATACCGTGTGAAATATTCCACTTTTATCCAAAAGCCCAACACAAATGCAAGCCCACTGGTTTTTTTCAGCTTGAATTTCTGACGGACAACAGGATGCCGTGACCCGGATTCGAACCGGGGTTGCTGCGGCCACAACGCAGAGTACTAACCACTATACGATCACGGCTGGGAAGATTCCCATACCGGGAGTTGAACCCGGGCCGCCTGGGTGAAAACCAGGAATCCTGACCGCTAGACCATATGGGAGCTTGCCATGTGACGCTGGTTCACACTCAGTGTGGACGATAGTGATACACAGAGGTTTGCATGTGGCACTCCTTGTCTGGTTTTAGGTAATGGGTTAGGGTTACAGAATAACCCATTTGTTTATATTTTGGCCTGTAAAAACATTTCGAGCTAGCCAGGAGTCGAACCTAGAATCTTCTGATCCGTAGTCAGACGCGTTATCCATTGCGCCACTAGCCCTACACCTCCGGATATAGACCACCTTCAGCCAAAGGCCTAAAACAACAGAAAGACAACTCAATTATTTTCTTCTTTCTGCTGAACAGTCTGAAAGTCAAATGGCTACCGTGACCCGGAAACATGCCTGTGTAAAGGCGGTTTACACTCACTGTGGATGGTTGAGGCTGTATATCTCTAAGCATTTATTCATGTCAAAGAATCTGGTCATAACTTTGCTTTTGAAATTCTTCAAAGGCTCCCCAAACATACGCAGAGTTTTGCATGTGGCACTCATTGTCTGGTTTTATGTAATGGGCTAGTTGTGGAGAATAACACAGTTGTTTATATTTTGGCCTGTAAAAACTTTTCAAGCTAGCCAGGAGCGGAACCTTGCATCTTCTGATCCATAGTCAGGCACTTTTTCCATTGCGCCACCAAACCTATACCGTGTGAAATATACCACTTTTATCCAAAAGCCCAACACAAATGCAAGCCCACTGGTTTTTTTCAGCTTGAATTTCTGACGGTCAACAGGATGCCGTGACCCGGATTCGAACCGGGGTTGCTGCGGCCACAACGCAGAGTACTAACCACTATACGATCACGGCTGGGAAGATTCCCATACCGGGAGTTGAACCCGGGCCGCCTGGGTGAAAACCAGGAATCCTGACCGCTAGACCATATGGGAGCTTGCCATGTGACGCTGGTTCACACTCAGTGTGGACGATAGTGATAGACAGAGGTTTGCATGTGGCACTCATTGTCTGGTTTTAGGTAATGGGTTAGGGTTAGAGAATAACCCATTTGTTTATATTTTGGCCTGTAAAAACATTCCAAGCTAGCCAGGAGTCGAACCTAGAATCTTCTGATCCGTAGTCAGACGCGTTATCCATTGCGCCACTAGCCCTACACCTCCGGATATAGACCACCTTCAGCCAAAGGCCTAAAACAACAGAAAGACAACTCAATTATTTTCTTCTTTCTGCTGAACAGTCTGAAAGTCAAATGGCTACCGTGACCCGGAAACATGCCTGTGTAAAGGCGGTTTACACTCACTGTGGATGGTTGAGGCTGTATATCTCTAAGCATTTATTCATGTCAAAGAATCTGGTCATAACTTTGCTTTTGAAATTCTTCAAAGGCTCCCCAAACATACGCAGAGTTTTGCATGTGGCACTCATTGTCTGGTTTTAGGTAATGGGCTAGTTGTGGAGGATAACACAGTTGTTTATATTTTGGCCTGTAAAAACTTTTCAAGCTAGCCAGGAGTGGAACCTTGCATCTTCTGATCCATAGTCAGGGCACTTTTTCCATTGCGCCACCAACCCTATACCGTGTGAAATATTCCACTTTTATCCAAAAGCCCAACACAAATGCAAGCCCACTGGTTTTTTTCAGCTTGAATTTCTGACGGACAACAGGATGCCGTGACCCGGATTCGAACCGGGGTTGCTGCGGCCACAACGCAGAGTACTAACCACTATACGATCACGGCTGGGAAGATTCCCATACCGGGAGTTGAACCCGGGCCGCCTGGGTGAAAACCAGGAATCCTGACCGCTAGACCATATGGGAGCTTGCCATGTGACGCTGGTTCACACTCAGTGTGGACGATAGTGATACACAGAGGTTTGCATGTGGCACTCCTTGTCTGGTTTTAGGTAATGGGTTAGGGTTAGAGAATAACCCATTTGTTTATATTTTGGCCTGTAAAAACATTTCGAGCTAGCCAGGAGTCGAACCTAGAATCTTCTGATCCGTAGTCAGACGCGTTATCCATTGCGCCACTAGCCCTACACCTCCGGATATAGACCACCTTCAGCCAAAGGCCTAAAACAACAGAAAGACAACTCAATTATTTTCTTCTTTCTGCTGAACAGTCTGAAAGTCAAATGGCTACCGTGACCCGGAAACATGCCTGTGTAAAGGCGGTTTACACTCACTGTGGATGGTTGAGGCTGTATATCTCTAAGCATTTATTCATGTCAAAGAATCTGGTCATAACTTTGCTTTTGAAATTCTTCAAAGGCTCCCCAAACATACGCAGAGTTTTGCATGTGGCACTCATTGTCTGGTTTTAGGTAATGGGCTAGTTGTGGAGGATAACACAGTTGTTTATATTTTGGCCTGTAAAAACTTTTCAAGCTAGCCAGGAGTGGAACCTTGCATCTTCTGATCCATAGTCAGGCACTTTTTCCATTGCGCCACCAACCCTATACCGTGTGAAATATTCCACTTTTATCCAAAAGCCCAACACAAATGCAAGCCCACTGGTTTTTTTCAGCTTGAATTTCTGACGGACAACAGGATGCCGTGACCCGGATTCGAACCGGGGTTGCTGCGGCCACAACGCAGAGTACTAACCACTATACGATCACGGCTGGGAAGATTCCCATACCGGGAGTTGAACCCGGGCCGCCTGGGTGAAAACCAGGAATCCTGACCGCTAGACCATATGGGAGCTTGCCATGTGACGCTGGTTCACACTCAGTGTGGACGATAGTGATACACAGAGGTTTGCATGTGGCACTCCTTGTCTGGTTTTAGGTAATGGGTTAGGGTTAGAGAATAACCCATTTGTTTATATTTTGGCCTGTAAAAACATTTCGAGCTAGCCAGGAGTCGAACCTAGAATCTTCTGATCCGTAGTCAGACGCGTTATCCATTGCGCCACTAGCCCTACACCTCCGGATATAGACCACCTTCAGCCAAAGGCCTAAAACAACAGAAAGACAACTCAATTATTTTCTTCTTTCTGCTGAACAGTCTGAAAGTCAAATGGCTACCGTGACCCGGAAACATGCCTGTGTAAAGGCGGTTTACACTCACTGTGGATGGTTGAGGCTGTATATCTCTAAGCATTTATTCATGTCAAAGAATCTGGTCATAACTTTGCTTTTGAAATTCTTCAAAGGCTCCCCAAACATACGCAGAGTTTTGCATGTGGCACTCATTGTCTGGTTTTATGTAATGGGCTAGTTGTGGAGAATAACACAGTTGTTTATATTTTGGCCTGTAAAAACTTTTCAAGCTAGCCAGGAGCGGAACCTTGCATCTTCTGATCCATAGTCAGGCACTTTTTCCATTGCGCCACCAAACCTATACCGTGTGAAATATACCACTTTTATCCAAAAGCCCAACACAAATGCAAGCCCACTGGTTTTTTTCAGCTTGAATTTCTGACGGTCAACAGGATGCCGTGACCCGGATTCGAACCGGGGTTGCTGCGGCCACAACGCAGAGTACTAACCACTATACGATCACGGCTGGGAAGATTCCCATACCGGGAGTTGAACCCGGGCCGCCTGGGTGAAAACCAGGAATCCTGACCGCTAGACCATATGGGAGCTTGCCATGTGACGCTGGTTCACACTCAGTGTGGACGATAGTGATAGACAGAGGTTTGCATGTGGCACTCATTGTCTGGTTTTAGGTAATGGGTTAGGGTTAGAGAATAACCCATTTGTTTATATTTTGGCCTGTAAAAACATTCCGAGCTAGCCAGGAGTCGAACCTAGAATCTTCTGATCCGTAGTCAGACGCGTTATCCATTGCGCCACTAGCCCTACACCTCCGGATATAGACCACCTTCAGCCAAAGGCCTAAAACAACAGAAAGACAACTCAATTATTTTCTTCTTTCTGCTGAACAGTCTGAAAGTCAAATGGCTACCGTGACCCGGAAACATGCCTGTGTAAAGGCGGTTTACACTCACTGTGGATGGTTGAGGCTGTATATCTCTAAGCATTTATTCATGTCAAAGAATCTGGTCATAACTTTGCTTTTGAAATTCTTCAAAGGCTCCCCAAACATACGCAGAGTTTTGCATGTGGCACTCATTGTCTGGTTTTATGTAATGGGCTAGTTGTGGAGAATAACACAGTTGTTTATATTTTGGCCTGTAAAAACTTTTCAAGCTAGCCAGGAGCGGAACCTTGCATCTTCTGATCCATAGTCAGGCACTTTTTCCATTGCGCCACCAAACCTATACCGTGTGAAATATTCCACTTTTATCCAAAAGCCCAACACAAATGCAAGCCCACTGGTTTTTTTCAGCTTGAATTTCTGACGGACAACAGGATGCCGTGACCCGGATTCGAACCGGGGTTGCTGCGGCCACAACGCAGAGTACTAACCACTATACGATCACGGCTGGGAAGATTCCCATACCGGGAGTTGAACCCGGGCCGCCTGGGTGAAAACCAGGAATCCTGACCGCTAGACCATATGGGAGCTTGCCATGTGACGCTGGTTCACACTCAGTGTGGACGATAGTGATACACAGAGGTTTGCATGTGGCACTCCTTGTCTGGTTTTAGGTAATGGGTTAGGGTTAGAGAATAACCCATTTGTTTATATTTTGGCCTGTAAAAACATTTCGAGCTAGCCAGGAGTCGAACCTAGAATCTTCTGATCCGTAGTCAGACGCGTTATCCATTGCGCCACTAGCCCTACACCTCCGGATATAGACCACCTTACCTTCAGCCAAAGGCCTAAAACAACAGAAAGACAACTCAATTATTTTCTTCTTTCTGCTGAACAGTCTGAAAGTCAAATGGCTACCGTGACCCGGAAACATGCCTGTGTAAAGGCGGTTTACACTCACTGTGGATGGTTGAGGCTGTATATCTCTAAGCATTTATTCATGTCAAAGAATCTGGTCATAACTTTGCTTTTGAAATTCTTCAAAGGCTCCCCAAACATACGCAGAGTTTTGCATGTGGCACTCATTGTCTGGTTTTATGTAATGGGCTAGTTGTGGAGAATAACACAGTTGTTTATATTTTGGCCTGTAAAAACTTTTCAAGCTAGCCAGGAGCGGAACCTTGCATCTTCTGATCCATAGTCAGGCACTTTTTCCATTGCGCCACCAACCCTATACCGTGTGAAATATACCACTTTTATCCAAAAGCCCAACACAAATGCAAGCCCACTGGTTTTTTTCAGCTTGAATTTCTGACGGACAACAGGATGCCGTGACCCGGATTCGAACCGGGGTTGCTGCGGCCACAACGCAGAGTACTAACCACTATACGATCACGGCTGGGAAGATTCCCATACCGGGAGTTGAACCCGGGCCGCCTGGGTGAAAACCAGGAATCCTGACCGCTAGACCATATGGGAGCTTGCCATGTGACGCTGGTTCACACTCAGTGTGGACGATAGTGATAGACAGAGGTTTGCATGTGGCACTCATTGTCTGGTTTTAGGTAATGGGTTAGGGTTAGAGAATAACCCATTTGTTTATATTTTGGCCTGTAAAAACATTTCGAGCTAGCCAGGAGTCGAACCTAGAATCTTCTGATCCGTAGTCAGACGCGTTATCCATTGCGCCACTAGCCCTACACCTCCGGATATAGACCACCTTCAGCCAAAGGCCTAAAACAACAGAAAGACAACTCAATTATTTTCTTCTTTCTGCTGAACAGTCTGAAAGTCAAATGGCTACCGTGACCCGGAAACATGCCTGTGTAAAGGCGGTTTACACTCACTGTGGATGGTTGAGGCTGTATATCTCTAAGCATTTATTCATGTCAAAGAATCTGGTCATAACTTTGCTTTTGAAATTCTTCAAAGGCTCCCCAAACATACGCAGAGTTTTGCATGTGGCACTCATTGTCTGGTTTTAGGTAATGGGCTAGTTGTGGAGGATAACACAGTTGTTTATATTTTGGCCTGTAAAAATTTTTCAAGCTAGCCAGGAGTGGAACCTTGCATCTTCTGATCCATAGTCAGGCACTTTTTCCATTGCGCCACCAACCCTATACGGTGTGAAATATACCACTTTTATCCAAAAGCCCAACACAAATGCAAGCCCACTGGTTTTTTTCAGCTTGAATTTCTGACGGACAACAGGATGCCGTGACCCGGATTCGAACCGGGGTTGCTGCGGCCACAACGCAGAGTACTAACCACTATACGATCACGGCTGGGAAGATTCCCATACCGGGAGTCGAACCCTGGGCCGCCTGGGTGAAAACCAGGAATCCTGACCTGCTTGGCGCTCCCTGCCACCTGTAAGTCGAGTCAATTCTTGGTAGTGACAGCCAATCACATTTCAGTCTGCTACCAAGAATCTACCAAGAATACAACGCTCTGACCAATCAGCGCTCGTATCGCTACCAAGAATTGCACCAAGAATGAACCAATCAGCGCCACGCCCGCTTCACCTTCGGGGATGCAGGCTGGAATTAGACGGACTTCGCCGAAGTGACATGACGAAAATCTTCACTTCTTACATTAATTTCGGAGGTAAGTCAATCCTTTCTAGCTATTGTCAATACAAATAAATTGGCAAATATCTATATATATAAACAGGTTTTAGTTGGATGAATAACCTGTGGCTCAGAACAACAACGACTAGGTAATAAATAACGTTAGACAGTGTTATCGGTCTCCTCACCGTTATAATGTTACAGCTTTCCGATGACTTCCTACTAATAATATGTTGATTTAAAATCAATTTAACGTTAACGTATCCGACAAATGCCTGTTGATGAACATTAGTGAGCCGAGTCATGCAATGAACGTTAAGTCACTAACAGGTGAACAGTACAGTACGTTACAGTAAAAGTGACGACTTAATCGTACTATTACTTACTTACTTAATTACTTTACTTATTACTTAATACTTACTATTTCATTTCAGTTTAGCTGATCATGCTGTCACATAAGTTTACTGTAAATGAATGAATAATAAGTTAGCAGACTACAATAAAGAAAATGGCTCCGGCCTCGGTCGGTCCCCCCTCCCCCCTCATCCACTACCCTAACGTTACTACCAAGCAACAACTAGTACAGTGAAGTAGCAGTAACTCAGTAATAACGCAGTTCATATTTCCGTTACATGGCCTATATATGTTACACAGCTCATGTTACATAGCTTATATATGTTACACAGCATATATTTACACAGCCTATGGAGAGCTGCCTAGTCTTTACTCGTAATATTGGTCTGTTTCTCTTGTTTACTATTCTTAAAACATATTAGCCTATTATATTAAATTCATTATATGTATTAGATTGAATATTAAATCAACATTACGAGGTGATCATGACTGAATATAACTGGTAGTAATATAATATTCACAGCTGCCTTAAGTAATGTGTTACCAAATGTTTTGTCCATCTCATCTTTCACAGCTGTGTTATTTACATCTGTTTCTGTTTTCTTTATATTTTCACTTTTTAATCTAGATGGATCCTCGCTTCAGGAGAAGGGCTGATGGCAGTCTTAACCTCACAGACACCATTGAGGCAAATAGGGTTAAGGATGTGAACAAAGGGAAGCCATGGATGCGACCCTTGTCCGCAGAGGCTGTGCTGGACAAGGCCAGAAACGCCTTGATTCTGCACCATGGAGACCCAGCAAACAGGAAACACCTGCTGGGTTTCTTTGAAATCCAGTTTGGTGTGTTTCGCGGGCAGACATTCAGGTGGGTGGCTGAAAATGCCCTTGGGTACGCCGCCTACCTAGTGGCGGCGATGAAGAGGGACCCCACAGGGGGGAGCAAAGACTCTCAGGACCACGCAGACAACAAGAGGTGTTTTAAGGAGTATATGGAGCTCTTTTCTTCTGGCAGAATCGCCATCGCCATGAAGGAAGAGCAATATGTTGGCAAAACACCCCGGCACGCTGCCCCCAGCCAGCACTCTGCCCCCAGCCAGCACGCTGCCACCACCCAGCACTCTGCCCCCAGCCAGCACGCTGCCACCACCCAGCACGCTGCCACCACCCAGCACGCTGCCACCACCCAGCACTCTGCCCCCAGCCAGCACTCTGCCCCCAGCCAGCACTCTGCCCCCAGCCAGCACGCTGCCACCACCCAGCACGCTGCCACCACCCAGCACTCTGCCCCCAGCCAGCACGCTGCCACCACCCAGCACGCTGCCCCCAGCCGGCACGCTGCCCCCAGCCAGCACGCTGCCACCTCCCAGCACACTGCCCCCAGCCGGCACGCTGCCCCCAGCCAGCACGCTGCCACCTCCCAGCACGCCGCCCCCACCCAGCACGCTGCCCCAACCCAGCACGCTGCCACCTCCCAGCACGCCGCCCCCACCCAGCAGGGATCCACCTCCTCTCTTCGCTCCCTCTTGGTTAGGAAGTCTTTGGCAAGCCAGGACTTGACAAAGACCATAAACAAGATGATTTCCCCCCTCAAAGTCAAACCATGTAAGCAAACATTTATTCATATAACACAATTGTTTTATGTTTAGTATTTATTGCTGTTCAATAATCATTATGTTTATCCTGCTTTTTGTTTCATTTAGCTTTGACCCAGGCACGCACACGGCCGTCACCCAGCCTCACCCACCCGACTGTGTCCATTGAGGCAGCCACAGGACCCTCACCCACACATGCCCACCCCTCTGCTTCCACTGAGCTGCATGACAGCGCACTGCTGACAGAGGCAACTAGGTTGGAGGAGGCACATGTGAAACGTACGTTTATACTTATTTAAAACATACAACACAATATTAATTACTAATTACAAAATGTGCTGGTCTGTGAGTGGTACTGGTCATTTTCATTTCTTTTTGTTTGTTTTTTGTTTTGTTTTTTTAAACAAGTTTCCTTTACAGGGATAATAAAGTAAAGTGAATTTGTTTATTTATGTGTTTATTTCTTTGTTTTTGTTAATTCCAGCACAACGAGTCTGTCTTCCATCCGGCTGGACACACACGTTGCCTGAAGTGGACCAGAGGTGGATCTCAAAGGCTCTGTTCAGGTGGACCCCACAGGGGCATCCAGAGCTTGACTTTAGCCGGGTGGACAAACTTTGGTGGTATCCTCCACAGGTGCCACTGAAGACCAGTGATTTTCCTTTGCTGGAAAATTACTTTGGCCATCCCCTGCTGCTCTGGATGCCACGAAAGCTGTGGCAAGTCAAGCTGACCTGTCCGCATCCAGACTGCAACAGAGAACTTCTGACCTCAGCTGGCCTGCATCAAAAGATCAGGCTGGTGGTGGCTGTGGGGAAGATGTACTTTGTTGCATCCGAGTACCTGGCCTGCAGACGATGCAAGCGGAAGGTCATCAGCTGGAGCCACGGCATCGTCTCCCAGCTCGACATTGGCCACAGGGTGCAGTTCCCTTGCATCCTTACATCTAAACTTGCATGTGATGTCGAGGTAGCAAGTTTGATGCGTCAGCGAGGGCTGGGAAACAGCAGCAGCCAGATCCAGCGGAAGCTGCAGGAGCGTCATGCTGAGGTCTGGTTGCAGCAAACAGTCCAGTATCTGACAGCCTGCAAGGGAATTGCCAGTGCTGTCACGTCGGGCCTGATCCTGCCTGTGACATTTGAACCTGCACCTGCCATGCTTACCGTCCCCAAGCATCGGTGGCTGATGCAGGTTTATGCCCAGGATGTCCTCCAAAGGCTGGAGGAAATCAAGGCCACCATCACGTCACAGTGTGGTCGCGTATTGAAGATGGACTCCACTAAAAAGGTTGCCCGAAAGCTGGCAGGACACAGCTATGGCACCGCTACCTGGGCAACCAATGTTGGCAATGAGCATGGACAGGTGATCATGTCCGTGCTCACTGCCAGCGAAGGTTTTGGTCTGGGGCCGATGATCGAAGGCCTCATCAGGAGATACAGAGAGGCTGGGGTGGCTCCTCCCGAAGTGCTATATGTCGACCGAGACTGCTGTGGCAACACTCTTCTGAGGAGGATGTTTGAAGAGTGGGAGCAGATGACCATCCGGTTGGACATATGGCATTTCATGCGGAGGTTTGCTGTGGGTTGCACTACTGACTCTCATCAGTTGTACGCAAGCTTCATGAGTCGCCTCAGCCACTGCATATTCATGTGGGACCAGGGTGACCTGACGGCCCTGAAGGAGGCCAAGCGTACAGAGCTAGGAGCTGACCGGAAGCATTCGTCCGAGGCTGATGTGATGCGCTGCATCAGCCGAAGCGAGCTAGCCCTGCATTGCAGGAGAACCACCCGCGGGACCAAGGAGACCCAGGCTCTGATTGAAAGCCACATCCAGGCCTACGAGGGAGATGGGGGTCGTGACACTCTGGGAGTCCCTTTGATCAACTCGGCCCGGATGAGTGCGATCCTGATGTCCCAGTGGAAGCATGTGGCCTGCATCCAGGATCCTCCGGGTGTGCAGCTGTACACCCAGACGGGAACAATAGTGAAGGGAGGGCACCGCCTGCCCACCTACCGCTGTGCCAGAGGTTCAACATCGCTTGAGTCGTTTCACTTGCACCTGAACCGATTCATCCCAGGTAAATATGTTGTAGCTGTTCATGTAACCTATTATATAGGAAATGTTTATATGGTCTCAGACATTTAATATTTATATATATATATATTAATATATATATTTATCAATTTACTTTACAGGTACACTGGCAAGTGACACCTTCTTCCAGGCCTACCTTTTGGATGGACTTGCGAGGTGGAATGAGGACCGGTCTGTGGCAGCGACAACTGATGAGCAGCAGCATTCGTACAACCATCTTCTCCGTCACGCTGTTAACAGTCTTGCAGAGGATGTTCTCGGCGAGAAGATCATCCCTTACGTCGGGCCAAGAAAATACACTGGTAGATAACTATTAGATTTGTTGTTTTTTTGTGTTACAATTTCAAGTTTACAAATACCATTTACCATAAGTTATTATATAACATCCTGGTATGTTATCTAATTGTCAGTGTTTTTATATTTTAAAGGTGAGCTTATTGGAGTGGAATATCTCTATGCTCAAACCGGTAAAGCTCTGCAGGACTACAAGTTGGCCATTGAGGAGTCAGAGACCACGGATTTAGCCATAGAGGTGGATGAACGCCACGTTGAACCTGAGGAGTTTCAGGACATCACTGTCCCCACCTTCGAGACAGAACGAACACCTGCTGCCTCCTCACAGTCATCAGCCTCTGTGGTCCGTCCATCACCGGTGACACGTCCTGCGTCCTGCACCGTGACGTCAGCCTCTGTGGTCCCTCCATCACCGGTGACACGTCCTGCGTCCTGCACCGTGACGTCAGCCTCTGTGG